GCATATATTCCCAATACGGATTAATGGGGTACTCACCATTTTTGGGATTTGTTCTTGCAGATGTATTTGTTGGTGTGAATATAGGAACTGATCTGTCGGTTATGCCTCATCCAACACAAGTAGTAGCCCTCCTGAAAGCTCAACAAATTCGACATGTTCGGTTATACGACGCCGATGGCGGGATGCTGATGGCACTTGCAAATACAGGCATTCAAGTTATGGTAGCTGTCCCTAATGAACAGCTTCTAGGGATTGGACAATCAAACTCCACTGCAGCTAACTGGGTTAATCACAATGTGATCGCCCATTATCCAGCTACTAACATTACAGCAATTTCTGTTGGCTCTGAGGTTCTAACAGAACTTCCTAATGCAGCTAAAATCCTTGTCAATGCCATGAAATACATTCACTCTGCACTTGTTGCTTCCAATCTTGATCACCAGATTAAGGTCTCCACACCGCTTTCTTCTTCGATTATTCTCGATTCGTTTCCGCCTTCACAAGCGTTCTTCAATGCATCATTGGATTCTGTAATCGTCCCCTTGCTTGGTTTCTTGCAATCTACTAACTCCTTCCTTATGTTCAATGTGTATCCCTATTATGACTATATGCAATCTGATGGCTTTATTTTGTTGGATTATGCACTCTTAAAGCCTCTCCCTTCAAATAAAGAAGCTGTTGATTCGAACACGCTTCTTCGATACACCAATGTTTTCGATGCTTTGGTCGATGCAGCCTACTTTGCTATGGCTTCTCTAAATTTCACTAACATACCCATTGTAGTTTCAGAAACAGGCTGGCCATCAAAAGGTGGCGCTAATGAGCCTGATGCAACATTGGATAATGCAAACACTTACAATAGCAATTTAATCAGGCACGTGCTGAACAAAACTGGAACTCCTAAACATCCAGGGGTTGCTGTTAGTACTTACATTTATGAGCTCTATAATGAGGACATGAAACCTGGGCCAATTTCTGAGAAGAACTGGGGACTGTTTGATGCAAATGGAAAGCCTATATACATTTTGCGCTTGACGGGATCGGGACTTGTGTTAGCAAATGATACGATGAACCCGACATACTGTGCTGCAAAGGAAGGAGCCGATCCGAAGATGCTGCAGGCTGCCTTAGATTGGGCATGTGGACCTGGCAGGGTGGATTGTTCAGCTTTGCTCCAAGGGCAGCCATGCTACGAACCGGACAATGTGATGGCTCATGCAACATATGCTTTTAATGCATATTATCATCAAATGGGGAAAGCATCAGGTTCATGTGACTTCAATGGGGTGGCTGCAGTTACAACCAGTAACCCAAGTAAGATAAGACCCAGCAGAATTCATCACTTTCCTTGTGTTGTTCTGCATATGTTTAGAGCTAACTTGTCTTTCTGTTGTGTTGATGAATGCAGGTCATGGATCCTGCTCATTCTCAGAAAGGTAAACTTCATAAACATTGTGTCAATTCTTTATTGATATAAACTCGATCAGATACTGAGAATTTCTGGGTTTTGCAGTGTTGGGAGGAATGGCACCATGGCAAACATCACAGCCCCATCAATGAACTCCACGAAATCAGATTCTTCTGCAAGCGCTTTTGGGTATAATATGTTGAGTTGTGCAGTGATGATGTTTGGGGCCCTGCTTTGGGGTTCCATTTGGTTGTAGACATATTCTTCTTCTTCTTCTTCTTCTTCTTCTTCTTCTTCTTCTTGTTGCTGCTCTGTTTTTGGATGATCCATTAGTGTGGGATGAGTTATATTCTCCCACCGTGGTGATAAGGAGTAGGTTTTAGGTTGGTTCTCTTTTCCTCCATTCAATTTTGTAAAAGTCAAGATGGAGTTGTGGAGAATTTGAATTATATATTATTAGGCTATTAGCTCTCTACTCAAACTACTTAACATTTATTTTATTCTCCTTTCGGAATGAAAGCTTTATTATTATTATTATTATGATCCATAAAGACGGTCACAATTGCACTTTTCTTAGCAGTAGACTTTTATAATTGTACTTTACTCACTCCTCCCAACACTTATAAGTCAAGCCAATTTAAGATCGTGTCGCCTACAACAAGGTAACGTATGCTCAAACTTTTAGCTCCATTTTGAAAAGAAAAAAAAAATAGAAAACAAGTTAAAGAGATTTTCAAAAGGAGGGTTTGAAAGTAAGATTGAAAGAACGAATAAAAACCGTGACTACAAGTAAAAAAACAACACAAGTACTCAAATAGCCTATGATATTTCGAATATGAAATTTTTTCTCTTTTGAACATTAGTTTAGTTAATAAACTTTTAACCCATTTAAGTATAATAATTTTTATGAAGTATAAGAAGTAAACTTTTAAATTTTATTTAATATTGTTTTTAAAAAATAATGAATGTAATAGCTCAAAAAAAAATTAATTTACATAAATTAGTTATTTTTTAAAATTTAAAAATAGAAAAAAATTAAAAATTATTTTTAAGTTACATACTCAGCCCATGTTTTTTTTTGTTTTTTTTTTTTTTTTTTTTTTTTTTTTAATGAGCAATGAATAATTAATATTAAAATTAAAGTTTATTAAACAAGATTTTCCAAATTTTCTTCGGTTGACTCGGTCAGTGAGAAACCCTAACTTTGTTCCATTATAAATATCTCGTCTTCGCAGTACTTAAAAATCACTCTTACTTTTATATTTTTTGCAATTTCTTTCCGTTTAGTTTCCTAGTCGAAATCTTCTCAATGCGTCATCTTTGATTCACTCTGCCGGTTGTTTATCCATGGCATCTCGGGAGTACGAAAAGATGCAAAATCGATTTCAAAACGGCACTACATGGTGCTGATCTATCTAGTGGTTATGCCATTTCTCGATTTTTCATTTGTTTCTTGCTTCCCAAACCTTCGTCAAACGCATCGATTGATGTATCCGATCCCGATTTCTTGTTTCTAATCTTTTTTTTTTTTTTTTTTTAATTCAAATGTGGTTTTGTGAAATTGATCTGCTCGATGATGATTGTTTTTGCTTTAACCACACCGAAGCGAGCTGAGGTTGTGTCTTGACCCTAATTCATTTAGGCTTTTGACGAGATGGTCTTCTTGTGATTGGTTTTCGCCTGACGACTCTTCCTTCTAGGATTAGAGGATTGTTTCACCTTCCTCTTATTTTAGAGGGGAAGATGAAGGGAATGCCAATCGTTTGAAGTAATTTTTTTTTGGGCTTAAACGTTTTAGGATTTTCACCAGCTTCGGGCTTTCGCATGTGGAGAACTTAGGCCTTTTTCTGAGAGCAACTACATTTAACGATTTTAGTCTGTTACTAATCATCTTGCTTATCAATTGAACTAATGTTTTGTTTGTTGGCAATTAGTGATCCTAATTGGAACTACATAAATTACAATAATTACATGATCCAAAGGAAAGAAACGAAGACGACTTTTTCCTTGACTTTATTTTGACGAGGAGATTCTCTTTTTGCTGATGATTCTATGTTCACAAGTTTAGGATCAACGTAGTATACGTTCTTGAACTTTTTAATTGTGATTCTATGTAGTAAACATCCATAGAAGAACATAATAGAACACCTGTATAACATAGATTTGATGACTTGCAAAAGTTCATATTATGGGTAGTACCATTGAAATTTCTACTCGTGAACTTTTGATTTTGGATCAAGGAACGAAAAAACTGTAAAATTTCAAAACGACAAGCCTTTATTTCCCAATTACATGTGGAAAATTTAAGTTCACAATGAATCCACTGAACAGAAATCTGTTCTGAAATTAGTTCCCAAATAGGAACTCTTTCTTGCCCAGTATTTGTACCAGAGATTAGAGTCCAGGAAAACAGAGTAGCTACCAAATGGTTGGAAATAGGTTTGCACCCTACCAAATTCTGTTATTGTGTTTATGGAGTCGAAACTATGTTACAGGCTAGAGGGCCAGAGAGGACAACGTTGAGATGCTACGGAGAGCATGAGGCTATTGCAAAAGACGAGGCGTTGAGATGCCGTATGTAGCATTTCCACGCTACCAATTGGACACCCCAGCTGCAAACACCCGCTCAGACACCCCAGCTGTTGTGATGCTACAATGATTTTGAAAAATACATTTGTTGGCAGCTACTCTTTGTTGGGGTAGAGAATTTTATTCTCTGTTTTAAGGCTAGTTAACTACTGTTGTGGTTTCTTGAAGTGGATTTGTAGTGCAAGGAGAGGGCCATTTGTAATTTCCACATATAGTAGAACATGCAGTGTCCTGAGTTGGGGTGAACTAGTATATTTTCAGTATGTCCTCAACTTTTATGTTATCTGTTGGGAACTTTAGCCAATATTTCAGGGGTGGCTGTGGGCAAGCTTCTTAGTTGTGCAACTGGATGTTGCTCGTCAGTAACAAGGAAATGTGCTAAGTTGCGACCTTCAAGTGGATGCATGAGATAAATTATACGATTCTAGAAAAAAGTAGTTGTGCTCAATCTCTCAATCTCGCAATGCCTACACCACTTCATCTTGAACCATACAACGATTGTAAGGAAAGGCCTGCTGAAGTATCTCTTTGAAAAGTCAGTTTGCATGTTCAAAAGTTTTCTTTTTGTATATGTAGTAAACTGTTCTTGGGAAGTTGATGTTCATGAAGTAAATTTACAGAATGATATATTGGAAGATTTGGATGATTCTGTTTGGAAGAATGGTTATGTTCCCAGTTTGGAGTTTGAATGAAATAGGGTCTCATCCATTGACAATTGAATTTAGTGAGATGTATCAGATCCTTGATAGATATTGTCTTTTGTGCTTTTTCTTTTGAGCTCGGATATTGTCATTTGTGCTTTTCCTTTCGAGTGCAGATATTGTCCTTTCGGGTGTAGATATTATCTTCATACTTTTTCCTTTCGGGCTTTACCTCAATGTTATTGCAGATATTGTCCGGGCTCTCTTTATACTTTTACTTTTCGGGCTTTCTCTCAATGTTATTAAAACGCAATTGACATTGCATCTCAGATTCATATGTCCCGTGCAATAATATTGTATTTGGCAGGAAATTGCAGAGTTTGTGCATAAAGTTCAATTACTTTGCTGGAGATCAAGCAACCAAGATTGCAATGTTCCTCTTATTCAAGTGACCAAGATTACAATTATTCTCTCATTCAAAACACTTCAATTACTTTCTTCACCGAACAACTTCACTCATTTTCCTTGCATCTAAATCTAGATGTTCAGATTATGATAGCAAACAACAACCAAAGAGTTCTAAGGATGTTTAAAATGTGTTAGCAAATGAATTTCAAGGGCATTTAGGACGTCCTTCCTTAGTCTTCCAGTCATTGTAGCAAGGGCAAACTTCCTTGTTGCCGGAGGTCCCTGGAGGCACACACAGACATTTTGCACAACATTTTTGGCAGTAGAGCATGCACGGCTTCTTGTGCGACGTCGCCGAGCATCGATATTCGCACCTCGGCTTGCAATCTATTCATCCATGTCATAAAAATAGTTAAATTGATACTCAAACAAATTAGATTCAAGATGATGAGTACCTGAAGGAAGGAGGTTTGCATCAGCCTGTTGCAGAAATCAAAAAACCATTACAAGAATATCAAAAATGAGAAGAAAAATGGAAAGTAATAGCCTAAAGGACTTCATACCACACCCAATTGCAGAGAGAACGAGAGAAAAAACAGGACGGAGACGAGGAAGAAGAGGAAGACGGTGTATGATCGAGAGGATGTTGCCATTGCCATTGCCTTGTTGTGAGTTAAAACGGGAGTTTAAAGGGAGTATTTATAGACACGGAGTTTATGAAAAATTAAGAGTAACAAATTTTATTTATTTAATTATTTATTATTGTAATATTTATTACCATTATTTCCAAAGTAAAATTACAGATATATTTCTAATAAATACAAAAATTCATTTATTTTTTAGAATTTTTATTTTGAACATAGTTTTGAAATATTTATGATTTTTTAAAATTATATATATATATTTTTTAATTTATTATTTGAAGTAGAATTATAGAGAAGTTTAAATTCAAAACCCTAAAATTTAACCCAATTGGAAAAATATACATATTTGGAAAACAGTTTGTCTTTTTCTAATTATAGATATATTTTTAATTTAAATGATTTTTATTTTAAAGATAATTTTGAAATGTTTATAAAATATTATGAATAATATTGTATGAAAAAATAAAAATATTTTTGAAACAATTGAAAAAGTTTGGAATTTATATATATATACATATGAATATTCTTACTATTTCTTGTTATCCGCATTATTGTAATTATTATTATTATTATTATTTAAATTATAGGATTGACAAGTGAAAAACATTGAAAAAAAAAAAAGATAAAGGTGAACAATTCTGTTAGTGGTGGGCTTGAGCTGTTGCAAAGGCAAATTATGAGATCCCTCGGTTGGAGAGGGAACCAAATAATTCTATTAGGGGTGGGCTTGAGCTTGGGCTTTGGTTGTTACAAAGGCAGAGTAAGGTAGATTATGAGATCTCTGTTGGAGAGGGAACCAAACAATTCTGTTAGTAGTAAGCTTGGGCTATTACAAAGGCAGAGTAGGGTGGATTATAAGATCTCGGTTGGAGAGGGAACCAAACAATTCTGTTAGTGGTGGGCTTGGGCTGTTACAAAGGCAAAGTAGGGTGGATTATGAGATCCCTCGATTGGAGGGGGAACCAAAACATTTGTGGAAACATCTTCCTAGCAGACACGTTTTAAAACCGTGAAACTGACAATAATAAGTAATGAGCCAAAGCGAATAATATACGTTAGTTAGCGGTAGACTTGAAATGGTATCAAAGTCAGACACCGAATGGTGTGCCAACGAGGATGCTAGGGCACCCTAAAGGAGTGGATTAGAGTGGAACGAAACACATTGGTGAAACCTCTTTCTTGCCAGCATTCTATTGGAAGATTAATTAATTTGAAGACCAAATTAATTTAAATTAAATAATAAAAACTATTTAGTATATTGTTGGTTCATGGGCTGGACCCGAGACACGTCCTTATTGGGTTGGGCCAAACGAGTAAGTTGGGCTTTGACCCATATTCTTATTTGGTCATTTAAATGACATTTTTAAAGGTCAATTAATTATTATAATTTATTTTCAAAACGTTATATATATAATTTTAATTTTGGTGATTATTTTAATAAAAATAGTATTAATGTTCTCATATCTAAAGTTTATTAATTCATTAAATGAAAATTTATGGTATTGAAATAAATTGAGAAAAGTAATATATGCTTACACCTTAGAGTTGGTGAGAAAAAAAAATGATATTTTTTCGAGTAAATTACGCTCATCGTAACATATATTATTTCAATTAATTATAAAATTTAAGATTCTTTTTTTTTTCATTTTTTTGAAAATCGTATATATATATTATTATTATTATTATTATTTTGGTATAACAATGTACGTCTATCTTCAAATAAAAAAGTATATACTAATTACTATTGAGTATTTAGTATATATTTTTAAATCTAAATTTAAATACTAAAACAAATATTTATTTATTTTTCAATTTAAAAAAAATAAATATAATTAGAAAAATGTGAATCAAAATATTTCTAAATAGTTTCATTGAATAATTTGTTGAGACGGACGATCGTGTTTTAGTATGAAATGAGAAAGGATAATCGGTACAGATGTTTCTATATACAACGATAAAAATCTATCAGCCACATTATGACGACTTTATTAAACAATTTTTTTAGATCGACAGACGTGTATTAGTATGAAATGAGAAATAATGATCGGTACAGATGTTTCTATATACAACGATAAAAATTTATCTGCTACATTACGACAATTTCATTAAATAATTTCTAGAAATCGAGAGTCGTATTTTAGTATAAAATGAGAAAGGATGACGGAGAAGTAGAGTAGAAATCGCTTGAAGTTAAAGCAAAATAGAGGAATAAAATAAATGGAGGGGGCGAAAATTTTGAAAATGACATCACACAAGTTGGTACGCGTAAATCTTCATATACTTCAGTGTTCATACATAAATAAATAAATAAATAAATAAATAAAAGGAAATGCCACCTGGCTACATTTAGCTCAAGTAAAGGCTAGTCTTTTTCCTCCATATCCATGGACCATGAATCTCTCACTATATATATATGTGTGTATATATATATAGTGAGAGATTCATTGGGAGTTGATAACTTTACTCGTCTGTGAGAAATTAGAGAGAAATTTATTTGAGTATGGGAAGGCAACCTTGCTGTGATAAAGTTGGGTTGAAGAAAGGGCCATGGACTGCTGAAGAAGACCAGAAGCTCATCTCCTTCATCCTCAACAATGGCCAATGCTGTTGGAGGGCTGTCCCTAAACTTGCAGGTTCCTCTCTTTCTCTCTCTTCTCGTTCACGTCGAGAAAATGGTCGTGTGTTGATGTCTGACTCGTTTAACTATGTTTCGTGACATCGAGAAAATGGTCATGTTTGATGTCTGATTAGTTGAATTATGTTTCGGAAATTTGCAGGATTGTTGAGATGTGGGAAGAGTTGCCGGTTGAGATGGACAAATTACTTGAGGCCGGATTTAAAAAGAGGCCTTTTGTCTGAATACGAGGAGAAAATGGTCATTGATCTTCATTCTCAACTCGGGAACAGGTCTTTTTAGCTTTTTCTTTTTCTTTTTTTTTTAATTAATTTAATTTTGAACGAATTTATTTTATTGTTTTTTTTTTTTTTTTTTTTACTAGATGGTCAAAAATTGCTTCCCATCTTCCGGGAAGAACAGACAACGAAATAAAAAATCATTGGAATACCCACATAAAAAAGAAGCTAAGAAAAATGGCAATCGACCCTCAAACTCACAAGCTTATTTCTCCAACCGACGATACTCATTTGTCTCAAAAGGACCAAAACCACCGCAAATCTCAACGAAAGCAGCCTCCACCATTACCATCACCACCGAAAGAGCTCAAGAATGAGGTAGCATACAATGAAATAAACACGATGGACTTAATTATCGATGGGTTTTGCACGGAAGAAGTTCCTCTAATTGAACCACACGAAATTCTAGTCCCGTGTGCTTCGTCTTCCTCAACCGCAACAACTTCGTATTCATCTTCGATGTCTACTTCTACTTCTTCGTTGTGTTCAAACTCAGAATCAGCAGCCAATTTGCTTCAAGATTTGGCGAATGAGTTTCCGGAGTTTGAGTGGCCAAATATTTGTGAAAATGGCATAGTGGAGGAGCTTTTGGAAGATGATTTTGGTAGCACTTGGGATTTTGTGGCTAATAATTATGGCTTGGAATCTTGGCCTTATGGCTTCCTATGAATCATCCATGTCAAAAACTTTATATTTTCTCAAATTTTATGAAATATTTTCTAAGTCAATCTTCCCTTGTTTTTTTTTTTCTTACTTACCTCCAATAAATACCACAATATATTAGAACATATACGATCAAACTGTGATATCAGATTCATTCCACTAACTTAAAATTTGAAGTATTATACACAAAAAAACTTTGAATGTGTCTCAGAAAATATAGTCATTGTGAGATATTTCGTTGAGCGTTTATTGGATCGACACTTGTTTCATGTGAGTTAGGACTTAAACTTCAACGAAATAATAGTTGATAATAACTTCTTAATCTTGAAATTTGAAGTTTATTTTAAAACACCTCGAGTAAATTCAGAAAGGGAATTGAATTTACTTATATGAATAAATATAAAATACTATTTATTATTAATAAAACTTTAAAAAAATAAAAATATATAATTGAAATTAATGAGGGAGATATTTTATTATTTACGTAAATTATAAAACATATTTGATTTTTAAAGTATTTTAAAAAAAACGCGGGATTGTTTTACATATATAAATAAAATAGTGCCACTTGAAGGAAATCAAATATTTATTAATTGATTTGACTAAATTTTGTCCTTGACTTGTGAATAAAAATGCAAATTAATGATAGAAATTATTATTTTTTTCCTTTAAAAAAGTTGAATAAAGTCATTGTTTTTTTTTTTTATATTTATTTAAATAATAATAATTGTCAGCATTGAGGATGATGCAAGATTAAGTACAAGAAATTTGGAAGTATATTTAATTAATTAAGATTAAATTATACAAATTATATCACTTTTATTCTACGAAAATAAAGTATTTTGTCTACTTTATTATCTTTTAATTTTTATTTATTTTTAAGTTAAATATTTATAAATTTTTAAAAAGTTTAATAATACCTTTGGAGAAAAATATTTATTTGGATAAAATATTTAAATAATTAACTGAATTTAGAATTGGTCGGAAAATTAAATTGTAATAAAAGATTAGATTATATATAGTTATTTTTTTATTATCTAAAGTCTTCATTTACAAGCTGGCAATGGTTGTAACTAATGCAATTTGAATGAACAAGTCTTTAATGAGAAACCCCACGACTCTAAATGTGTGTTCTTGATAATTGAATTTTTCTATTTCAATTATTTAAATAAATATTTAATTACTAGATCAAATCCAAATGATTAATTTTAATTAACATGACGTTGAGTGTTTTTTCATGGATTATAATAATAAATTGAACTAAATGAATGTTTGTGAAATAAAAGAAAACACTCCGTTACTATCTCGATAATCAACCGTTATTTCTTCTTGGAGAAAACTTGGTTTTTGAAAACTAAAGAAGAATCATTTTAAAGATAGACGAGGTTTCTTCGTATAGAGGATGTCTATTAGATAGAGACCCGTGTTATCAAAGTTTAAAATAACAAGGATTTTTCATTGAGCGTCCATTTTTTTTTTTTTCAACATT